GTTTTCTACATCCATAATGAAGAAAGTAAGCCATAAAGAGCTTAAATTACAGTAAATCAGAATGAGGTTGGATGCTAAGAAAAACTACCAGAACAGAGCACAAACATTGAAATTTGTTTTCAGATGACCATGGAGACTTTCTATCTTGAGGTCTTTCAGATCAAGGCAGAAAAATTTGTGCCAACAATAATCTGTGTATAACAGATCTTTCCTTCTTACTGGGAGAAGGAAAAAGGACTAGGTAACTCTTACAGTCCTTCCTGGCTACTTCTGGATGTGTTTCTACTCTAGCAGGTCTGAGTACAATAGCCTTGATGCTATTTCTGCCTTGTCTTTATCACACCTGTGTGCACCCCTGCACTGCTGCATTCTTGATGATTCTGATGGATCAAGGGTGTGTCCACAAACTCCCTTTGCCTGTGCAGATCAATGCCTGACATCAAAGGTGACATAAATCTTTTTTCCCAGGACACAATAATGCTCAGGGTATGTATAATTCCACCGGACATAGGCTTTGTCTTGCTGATCAGTTGAGTCATCACATTTTCCATCTACTGAATTATGCTTCAATCTGAGTTATTTTATCTCTTGTATTACTTTATAATACCCACACAAGTGCTTCACTCAGGCAAAGTTCTCATCTATGGTCAATGAATTTTGCCATTCATGACTTTTGACTCATTTCTCATGCTTCACATAATAACACTGTCTATCATGCTTGCTGTATGCTAAACTGCTTGTGTAAGTGAGACTTTTTTCAATTCTATTCTATATTGAATGTGATTAATTTATTCCTGGTCAAATGTAAGAAATGTCCACACAGTAGCTATCTACTAGCTTAGAGGAAAAACCTCCACAGTCGCATAAAATTTTCAGTCTGGCTTAGGTTTGGTTTGACTTCCCAGAAATAGGCATGTTACAATAACCTTAGTAATCTTATAATTTAATTTATAATAGAGGTCTTGAACTCCTACTGTTACTAACCTCTTATCCATCTCTTTCAATTTTCCAAGGTTTCTTGAATGCTTTGTATATCACAATGATCTAGGCGTTTTGGGAAGCTAGAAGGGGTTTATCTAAGTTATTTTTGGGTTTAGATGATCTTATCAATGACTTCATTCTAGCTTCAAAAGGACACTTCATAATTCTAAAGCTCCACAAGGTTTTATCAACCAGAACAAAGCTGCTTTTCCTTTGGTCTCTTCTTAGTATCCACATGAAAAGTGCACTTGAAAAATCCTAGGGATTGGTCTTTCAAAATTTGTTTGCCTGAAATTCTAACAACATTGTGACTTTTCTTCTTCAGCTGATTACTGACTTTTGGAATAAAAGTGGTGCTGGAGAGTTGAGATAGAATTTCTGTTGTGGAGTGCAGTCTGCTTACAGATACAACAGTGCTTTTCCACCTTTCTATGCCACAGATCCATCTTTTGCTATATCATTCCAGTTTTTCCCTTTCAACTGAACAAAAATCAGACCAAACATTGTTTATTCCTTTTATTGTCTCTATTTTCCACCACTTCATTTATTGGTTGGCTTGCATGCAGGGTGTGTATGGTTAAAGAAATTACAGATATTTTCTCAGAACAGTTTCTGATGTCTTAAGGCTCAGGTTTGCCCAGTGGACTGGGAAGCTGAAACACAGTCCATGTGCCCACATGACTTATGTCCCATGGATTATCCTTCTAACATGACAGTGTAAGGCTGGCATTTGCACAGCAGGTGAGCAGAGTGCAGGAGGACAGTCCTCCAAGGATTTATTCTTTATGACACCAGAGTTCACAAGGTTGATAAATAAAAACCTGCCCCTTACCTCTTTACTTACCCAGTGCTGCTCTGCATCGTGGCTTTCCAGTGTGCATCTGCCCCTTCTATCTTAAACTGAATTGGTGAAATGCATCCAAATAATTTATTTAGCCCTGCTTGCCTGGGCAAATCGTTAATTAACAGACATAAAAAGTGTAGCTTTCTATTTGAAATATATTATGTTTGGTTTATAAGAACAGGACTATTCAGATTTCAAGGGTTTTCTTCTTAAAGCCAGTCCCTCTGATAAATTGAAGGGATTATGTTTTTGTTGGCTGTCTTTGTTACCTCCATCACTGTGTTTCCAATTTATCAACATAGTTTTGAGAAATTGTTAGAATATGTTGCACTCGTAAGCACCGTGGGGAGAAAAAATATTCATTTATTACTGCTATTGTGTTTGATTATATTACGCATATCCAAAGGACTAAAATGAAATGTCATCTTTAATTCTCCCCTTACAGTAGACAATATCACCCTTTCTTCTCTCTTTCCAGAAACAGTCTGGAAGTCAATTCTTCATTTTCATTTTAAATCAGCCATACAGAATGGAAGCAAGTGTGCGTTAGGGACACAGCAGAAGTAATGGGAGTCTGGAGATCTGAGCTCTGTTTCTGGCTCTGCCTTTAGCTCTTTGCAGTCTTGAGCAGAGTCATTTGACCTCTGGTCTCCACTCTCTCAGTTCATGAAATAGGAAGACCATTTACTTCCTACAGATGTCTCCAATAATTTGCCAGAATCATGTCTTGTCTAATCACCTGTGTTTAATATCTCCTAGGGTCTTGCAAAATCAGTGAAGGCTGAAGCAGCAAATTTTCCATACAGCTGAAAATAAAATGCTTTTGGAAAGTTAAGACTTGAAGACTACGAAGAGCTTCTGAAGGATCTAACCCAGGCCAGGAGAATGGGTCAGAAAGCCACTGGTGCTGTTCAGTGTTGTTAAATATTGATAAATTATCTGTCTGAGCCTGTCAGGAGAGAGAGGTGTGATTGGAACAAAAGGCTGAACCCTGCCCTCAACTCTCAGTCTGGTGCTGCCAGGAACTGCTGGGGTGGAGGTCCAGCTGTACCCACTTTGTGCACACAGAGCTGAGGATGAGCCCCCAGGTTGAGGGGAAGGGGGGTCTTAGAGAACTGCTCAGTGTTTTGCTGTTCCTGACTCCTTTCCTGGGTGAAGGCTGAATTTGGGGTGGTCTGTAGTCCAGCTTAGAGGGAAGAGCACGGTAAGTCTGTTCTTTTGTTGCCCTGACAGGCTGAACAGAGGTTTCCTGAGGACGGACTCTTAGCAGCATGTCTGAAAGGCTGAATGTCCTAGGGTGAATTTCTGGGAGCTGTGTGCCTTCTTGGGAGTGAGAGAAGGGAAGGAAAAATGTTCCCTTGCTGGAGGTGAGGGAAAAATAAAGGGAAGAGTGCTCAGACTGCAGGCCTGGGGATAGAGGGCCCTGTTACAGCCCAGCTTCAGGCACTGAGGGCTTTTTGTAAATATATAGTGTCTGGTTTTGAGTGGGCTTGGCATCCAGTGTTGTTGGGACAGAACTTTTAGGTCCCTTTGGGCTCAGAGAGTGCTGGTGCACTCAGCTCTGGGTCTGGGGCAGCCCCGGAGGCTGTGCTGCAGTGCAAGCTGCATCTCTGCCTCCTTGTGTGATTTGCTTCAGTGATTAATGGCAGAGGCTGTTTAAAAACCTGGTGCCTCATTTGCAGTCTAAACTTGTCTGGTTACAGGCTCCAGCCAGGGGCTATTTATCTCTGTGTGCAGGCTCTGGAGGTGGGCACCATGGGGGAAGGGGCAGCTGCTCACCTGTGGCTGGGGGCAAATGCCAGATACAAGATACTGCATTTTCCCTGTGTCTATAGGGAACATTTTTTCAGCTGCAGCATCTTTGGGATTGTATTACTCTTGAAGGAAGATGGTCTCTGCCTTTGCAGAGCCCCACGGGGAGGCCCTGGGCCCCAAGAATATCCCAGCAAGAGACTTGCTTTCAGTGGTACATCAGGGCTGTCTTTGGCTGACTGCACAAACAGGGAAGGTGCAGAGGGGGTGTTGAGAGCTTGCAGGATCTGAGGGCAAAAAATTTAGAAAGACAGTTGTGTCATATTAAAAATTAAATCCCTTCTTGAGGTGTTTGATGCAGAGTAGTTGCTTGCCTAGTCAGTGAACTGCAACAGCCCAGGTTCCTCTGGAGCTGGGAAGGGGACACTGAGCCAGCAAAAGGGGTCGTGACACTGTTGCTAAATGGGGGATGTACAAGGGTTTTAAAGACAGACTCAGCTGCTGTACTGGGGGATCCTTGCTGCAGCCTTACTTCTTGGGGTGTTACTGTTGTGAAACACCCACATCCTTCTACAACTGCAAAAATGTTCCGACTGGGGTTCGCTGTGCAATCCTTCAAACTCAGGGCCATCCTGGGTGATAAACCAAGAAGGTCTGTGGGAAGTGATGGCAAAGGGAGTGCTTGTGTGTGAATCATAGGCTCATGAAAGTTGGAAATGGTCTCTAAGATCATTAAGCCCAACAGTCAGCCTCACACCATCATGTTCACCACAAACCCATGTTCCTATCTGAGTGATGCTAGAATGAGCAGGATGCACATGGTGAAAGCAGAGAGATCTCTTTCTCACTGCTTACCATGTGAATGAAGTGTCTTAAAATTATTTATTTCCTATTTTATCTGTGTAACTTCTGCAGCAGAAGTTATCTGTGAACATGGCAGCAGTCACCAGCTTTGGGATATTTGGGCTGCACTGCTGAGCAGTGACTTCCCTTCCACCTGGCCCTCGGTTAGCTGGGGGGATACATGGACTTCTGCTGTGTGTCGGTGATGCCTGGGTTTGGGTGGCACTGGGCGCTCCCTGCCCGCGGGGCGCTGCCGGCTGTGCCCGGGCAAGGCGCAGCCCCGCGGGTTCCGTGTCCCGCGGGAGCGCGGCTCGTCCGGCCCGGGCCGCCTGCCCCCGCGGAACCCCTCCGCAGCGGGGTCCGCCGCCAGGCCTGGCAAGGGTTAACGCCGAAGCCCCACGCCCCCTTTGACGGAGTCGAGCCAACCTCGCCAAATTTGAAAAGGCATCCGGGGCTGAGTGTGCGCCCTGGGAGCACCGAGCCTCGCTGGCCCCGGACCCCCTGCGCGGGCAGCAGCGCAGCCGCCGGGGCTCGGCTTGCCGAGGGTCGGGGCTTCCCTTTGGCAGCCGGAGCAGCCGTCCCCTGTGCCCGGCACCCCTGCCCCGAGCTCCCCGCTCCCGGGGCTCCTCCGTGCCGCGGGATCCCGCCGTGACCCCGGCCGGGGGAGCGCGGTGTGGCCCTGCGCCTGCCGCGCCGTGTAAGAGGGGAAGGGGGAAGCGGTAGGAAAACCCCGTTCTTGCTAAAATGCAGCTCGCTCTTTTCTTGTCCTGGTGCTGCTGCCTGCATGGATGCGCGCTGGGCACCGGCTTCCTCTATCAATTCCCAGCATCAACCCTGCAGCACAACTACCCAGAGCAGAGCTCCGGCTCGCCGGGCAGCGGCTTCGCCAGTCGCCGGTGAGTAAGACCGGGTCCGCCTCCGGGCGACGAGGCTGCGCCCCGCCGGTGGCTCCGGGGGCAAACGGGCACGGCAAAGCCGCGGGCAGCGGTCCCTCGGAGGGTGCAGGGGCGTGCTGGGCTGCTGCCCCTCGGCGAGCCGGGCTGGGCTGCCCGCATCCTCTGTGGGGTGCGGGACGCTGCCTACCTGCCCGCAGCAGTGTCCGCCTCCTGGGGCACGGAGCGGCTGGGGGATCGAGGAGCTGAGCCTGGGTAAATGACACCCGCAAAGTCTCCCCCTGCCGCGCCCAGCCCGTCGGGGAGGGGAAGGGGCTTTGCGGGGCTGCGCGTCTCCGCGCAGCGCGCAGCCGGAGCAGGAAAACCTCCTGAGCCGGGACGCTGGGGATGCCGGCAGAGGGAACTGTTATAGCCATCGGCTGCGAGGAGAAACTTGTTCAGCTCAACAAAGGAAAGCCCTTAATTACAGATCTTTCTTCAAGAGCTGCAACTTCCAAGTAGCTGTTTAAAACCAAACCTCCCACTCTTCTCCTCTCTCCTCTCCTCAACCCAATTTCTTATAAACTTAATATAAATCAGATTTGATTTACTGTATCTTACTGCTTCAGTAGAGCAAACAATTTAGGCTTCTCCCCCTCCCCTCTGTTTTCTCTGGGTACTTCCCTAGAGGTGAAACAGCTGTTCAGATGAATGAGCTGCACTGTATAAAGCAAGAGAGTGGCTTAACCTGATTCCAGTTGTTCTTGAATTTCACTTTTTTCCTTTTTCCCCCTGTCATTCCCTTAAGTAGGGACTTGAGTTTTAATATTCAGGGCTCGTCCATCCTGTCTCTACTTCTTTTCCTCCTCCCTTGCTAATACCTACTTTGTGTGAGTTGTGCTGCTGTGGAGGAGGGCTTCTGTTAGCACGGCTTACTTGGGCTGGGGATTGGGAAAGGCACGGACTCCGTGGATTTCCGTGTCGGAGGTGCAGGGCTGGGCACCAGCCCTGTGCCTTGCACGGGGCTCGCATATGGTGCGGGTTTCCCCCGGGGGGAGGTGGCTTTGTCCGCTGCGCTGTCAGACGCGCCTGGGGCTGCAGGGGGTGTGATGTTAAACTACAGCAACTGTCAAAGGGTTTGAAACGGCAGAAAATTGTAGGAGAGTAATGGGATAAACCTATCCCAGCTGGATCTCTTCCAAGGTACCCCCTTCCCAAAGCATGAGCTGCAATGAGAACCACATGTCATTTGTCTTACATATCTATTAGCCTGCAGATCTTTGTTCAGAGCTACCACGCTTACATGAGTGTGGACTCTGCTCACCAAAGACCTTCCCCAGTTCACACTCTTGCACAGCTTTCCCATGCCTCAATGGTTTGGATAGCTGATGCTTTGTCAGACTCTTCAAGTCTATAAAGTGTTGTGTAAAACCACATAAACCTGATTTAAACAATGATGTTGGGGAAAGTGGGTAGATTTTTTAGATTTATTTTTTATGTCTGATGGAACTTTGCCCTGGGAGAATCTCCCATTCTAGTTTAATACAAAGGGGGAAGTAAAAAACTGAAGGGAGGAAAAAAATCACCAGTGGATGTTGTGAAAGAAAAATTCATGTGCTCAGTCAAATATCACACGTTGAAGCAATCTTTGTATGTTTTAATTTCCCCTTGAGTGGTGAAGTTTTGTTGTTGGCAAATGTCTAACAGCTTCACTTTCTGATGGGAAAATCTGTGTGGGAAAACTTTCCCCAGCCAGTGTTGGACTTCTGAGGGAAGTCTCCTGCTGGGTGCAGCTTCAGGTTGGGATAGCTGGACTTTTCTGGATTTAATATGGTCTGTGATGGGAGTGAGGCTTTTTGCTCTGAGTTTGACATTGATGTATATGGGTCCAAAGCCTTTTTTCAGGGACTAAATCAGACTGGTATAGATGGGTTTTATGTTGTTCAGTGTCCCTTTTGCCATTGAAACAGGGGACCCTGGTAGCACCTGAATTATGTGAAGCAACAGCAGCTCCATCACAATGATGCTTTCTGGCCTCTGCCCTGGAGGGGCTGTGGAGGAGACAAGATGGTGGGAAGGTGATTGCTATTAATGGCACTATATGGCCATTCTCACTTTCTCTTCTGCAGCCTTCCTTCCCAGTGTGTGCTTTGTCCAGTGACTTCTGGAACTTTTCTGAGTCAAAAATAAGCAGGGACAGAGCCTTGAAAGTTCCTGCTGCAGTTCCAGGTGCACATGCTGATGGGATGCTGTAGAGTTGACAGGTTTCCTTGATCCAGGACACACCATGTTTCTGCAGTTGTCTTTTCCTGTCTTTGATCAACAAGTGATTGAGCTGTTTGGGAACCTGCTATCAGTTTTCTAAAAATTAACTTGTCATAAGAGTTGTGTTTCTCCTGGAGGAGACGTTTCTGGAGTCCTTTGTGCTGATACAGCCCTTTGTATCTAGGTTGCAGGCTGGCTGAGAGATGGGCTCCTGAGGCTCTGAGGACTGCTGATCACTGCCAGAAAAATAAGGCACTGAACACTGTAAAAAAGCTTGGGGTGGTCGTGAAGGGAAATTTGGAGGAAAAAATATGGTTATTCACATTCTTCAAAGTGAAGCCATGGAATACTTGTTCTGGAGGAATAATGTGTTTGATTCCTTTATTTATTTTTTTATTTAATGAATATTCTAGCTTCTGGTTGGCTTCAGTTGACAGGTCCTGGTAATCAGACCAAAGACACTTGCAGTCTATCTTTGCATGTGCTTGAATTGAATTGATTTCACTGAATTGAACTTCTGATGTGCAAGTGCTGCTGAAATCCAGGCAGTAGTGTCTGATGACATTGTATAGCCTGCAACAGCCTCACAATTTAGCTTGAAATTCCCATTCAGTGTATGCATTTTGAACTTGCTCTGTGTTAAGGCAATGAATGGGAAGTGGGCCTTACTGGAAGCATAAGAATGAAGGGGCTGCCTGCCAAGGAGAAATCTTCCTCCAAGCTCTGAGAAGCTTTGCTAACTGAGTTAAGGGAAGCTTGTTCCCATGCTGGAAGTAGCTCAGTTGTCAAGGAATGCCTGTCTCTGTATTAGTTGTCTTTGGGGTTGGTGTTCTCCCAACTCCTCATTCTATTTTCCTGTACTTTCTAATTAGTCATGCACTGAGTCCTTGTCAACTTAATTGTGGGAGTCAGAAACTTCAGAGAATAGATGCAGGGCTTAGACTGGAAACCTCTTTGGATGTGAAGTGGAGCTGGCTGATAGAAAATCCCAAAGCATAAACCTAAAATCAGTGTAGGATAATAATTTTTTCACTGGGATCATTACAGTACCATCACAAAAGCCCTCTGGGGTGGATGCAAGTCCAGCTGTGGCAGTTAGGTCTTCAAAACATTCTTCAGCTGAAAAACTTCTTCCTGTTAATGAACATTAGAACCATGATGTTACAAATAACAGGACTGTACAAATAGGTATGCTTATCCACATTCTACTGGTAATTGCACATTTGGTCACAGTAATTCCCAGTGATTCCTACAGCAGTGAAGTTTCTTGAGGATGGATATGGAGGGGAAAGTAATATCTGATAGCTGTAAGTACAATATTTGGTTGCCAGAAGCTTTGACATAGAAGGCCAGGTGGCCTTTGGCCACTTCATGTTGTGACTCAGAGCACAGCCCAGGAGAGTGAGACCTGGGTTCCAGTTGCTCCTCTACCAATGATTTACCCCTTATCAAGGGGCAAATCACTTTGCCATGGATTCCGTGGAGCAGTTAAACAAGCTCTGTGAGCTGCTTTGATGTGGGAATGTTGCTTAAACAGACATCAGCTTTCCAGTACTGCAACTTGTCTTGCTTCCCTGAGAAATCCAAAGTATTGGTACTTGAAATATGTTGTCAATTATTCCTTGAGGCTACCAGTTTCCTAGCAGGTCACTTGGATGTCTGGCTCTCAAGATCAAGATGTCTGTGTGGACCTCTTGTAGGTATATGGGTTCTGTCCAGAATAACTGCCTGTGTTGTGCCTGGCCCTACAGCTACATCTGTGCTGGGCTGGAAATGACCCTCCCCAGCACAACTGCACTGAAATGTAGCAACCTCCAGCCACTTAGGTGAGATTTTAGTTCTTTTAACTAACTGTGAATCTCTTTATGTGATAGAAGTCTGTTATTAATATCAAAAGGTCATCTATGAATAAGTATCCCTATTTATGTAGTCTGTCAGAATGCTTTCAGAATGTGTATCTGGATTTTTCCTGATGGATTTTTATTAATTCTCTCTTCACTAGAGACAGATGACTTGAACCTTATTTCAGCCTCAAATTCTGAACCTCTCGTGACTCTTAAGTGGGTGTGGAATATAAAACTATACATATTGGCCAAATGTGGTTCTCTCTCCTTTTAGTGACAGGATTTTGCTCTCTGAGTCATTCTCTCCATCACCTAATTGTCTGCTCATTGCCTGAGGTCCCTGGTTTGCTATGGACCGTCAAGCAAACAAACTGGGATTTGTGTCACGCTGAGTCTTCTGCTCTAATTCTGCTTTGAAGTGCCCGACCCAGGTAACCAAGAGGTCAGAAGGTCTTGAGCTCATCACCAGACCCTGGAACTATCTGGTGTTTGTTCCCTGGACTTTGCAGCCATATGATCTTCATCTGACTCGTGGGTTCAGGGCTGTAACTTTGCAATGCAATTAGCAGTGGGGCCAATGGTAGGCTAAGGGTCTGGTGACACTGGAATGGCTTTGAAATACCAGATGTGATTGTAGCTACTGCAGTAAATTGTATTCTGTAGGAAGTCTACTGTCCTGCCTTTCCAGCTGCTTGTGTGAATAATTTCCCCTTAGGTAGGTTTCATTTACCAGCTCAAGGGGAAAAAACAAAGGGAGCAGAAAGGCAAAACAATGGGTGCCAGTGAACTTGTGCTCCCCTTGGATAAATTAACAAATAAATGTTTCTTTCAATAATCCTTATTTTTTAGTTTTCTCAAACTTGAGCTTGTTAGGGTGCTAAAGTGCTGGTGGAAATAGGTCAGGTTAGAAATGTC